ATCGAATCGATAATAAGATTTCTAGAAGGTCGAAGGCACGTACTAATTTTCCGTAAACATTGGTAACGCAAGTGTACGACCCCTATCAAGGGAACGAACAGTCCAGATTGTATTTCGATTGCGATCATCGGAATCTGACAAACAAATAAGTAATTTACATTAATGCCTCCGATTTTCCGTCCGCAATAGTCCGCTGACGATCTAATTGAGGAAACGAATTAATTAATATAGTCAAGAACGAATGTTGTTTTAATTCTAGAAATTGCGAGAAAAAGACTAGTGTAAAAATCAAGGGATTTTTCTCTTTATTATTGCAGAAAAGCACATGTAGCATCCGGTCATTGACCTGTGGAAAAAACGTCGACGTCGCTCTAAGCACGTCATTCCGGATCCTCCAGATCCATTAACGGTGCTTTTAGGTACCTCAAGCACCGGTCACCGTCCCCACCGAACCCGTCGCTTGCGACGAAGGGCTCAACGAGTAAATTTGCCCATAGACCCACAGCCCACTGAGTTTCTCGCTGGATCTTCTCAGCGGGTTATGTTTCCGAGCCCCAGCACGTAATAGTATGTAAACGTATATATAAAATTAAATTTCAAGAAAGTATTCCATCCGACCAAACCATTCCGTCAAAACGTCAGTCCGCTGTGACTAATAGAGTCTATAGCGTAGTCGTCATTGTCCACTGTTCACTATAGTTCTAGGATGAATATTGTAAGCTCCTTGCCGTACAGATACAATATAGTATACACATTCTCAGACAATTTTTTTACTAAGTGAATATGTTTTTAAAGTCTACAAGTACGACTTCGTAAAGAAAATCGCGGGCAAAGTAAGTATATTTTGAAATGCCTGCGATCGAGAGGGGAAAAGATTAAAAGGACGACCGTTCCAAAGGTGGGTAGACGACATAAAAGCCGTTGCAGGCTTTACGTGGAAGAGGAAATGCCACGACCGGAACTTATGGCAGGATTTGGAGGAGGCTTATTATTACTGGTGGTAGGACCTCTTGTGAGTCCGCACGGGTAGGTATCACCGCCCCGCTTATTTCTGCCGTGAAGCAGTAATGCGTTTCGGTTTGAAGGGTGGGGTAGTCGTTGTGACTATACTGAGACCTTAGAACTTATATCTCAAGGTGTGTGGCGCATTTACGTAGTAGATGTCTATGGGCTCCAGTAACCACTTAACACCAGGTGGGCTGTGAGCTCGTCCACACGTCTAAGCAATAAAAAAAAAGAGGCCTATGCGAAAGCAAAAAAATCTTAGCCGATGTCAAATGCAAAGAAAAAAAAATGAATAGTATGTACCTAAATATGAATTAAGGTTGTTAATAAAGGCTTCTTTATCTGCGATATTTCTGAAAAATAAAACATTTGACTGTCTACTGTTAGCTTCTGTTTTCAGATATACTTGCCCGATAGACAGTAGGATGAATAGTTTCGTATGCATCGATTTCAATTTAAGGAATCCTAAATCGTCGAGAACAATAAAACGATCGATGTTCATCTTATTTAAAATTTATTGACGACAAACTTCAATAGAGCAACAGATGATAAACATTGCATCATAGATCATGATTTAATTATGAACTCGTTTCGTCTATACTAACATTATAAAGAGGAAAGATTTGTTTGTTGGTTTGTATTGAATAGGCTCCGAAACTACTGAACCGATTTGAAAAATTCTTTCACTGTTTGAAAGCTACACTATTCCCGAGTGACATAGGCTATAATTTTTTTGAAAAAATTAGGCATCCTCATTAAAACTCCAATAATGTAACCCAAGATGTAAAAAAAATACCTAAAATATTCTTTACATCGCGTGCCCTGCGATTGTATTGAATAGGCTCCGAAACTACTGAACCGATTTGAAAAATTCTTTCACTTTGAAGCTACACTATTCTCGAGTAACATAGGCTATATTTTTTTTGAAAAAATTAGGCATCTTCACTAAAACTCCAATAATGTAACCCAAGATGTAAAAAAATTACCTAAAATATTCTTTACATCGCGTGCCCTGCGAAAATTATTGATGATAGAATAAAATAATGTACTACGACTTTGTAGAACACATTATTATTTATAAAATATGTGTTAGACATATTTTTATATTACATTATAGTTTTGCCTCAATAAGTGTTACTACTGGTGGTAGGACCTCTTGTGAATCCGCACGGGTAGGTACCACTGCCCCGCCTATTTCTGCCGTGAAGCAGTAATGCGTTTTGGTTTGAAGGGTGGGGCAGCCGTTGTAACTATACTGAGACCTTAGAACTTATATCTCAAGGTGTGTGGCGCATTTACGTTGTAGATGTCTATGGGTTCCAGTAACCACTTAACACCAGGTGAGCTGTGAGCTCGTCCACATATCTAGGCAATAAAAAAAAAGTGTACATTTATTTTAAAAAAATATAACAACCCAAATATTGTTGCAATTTTTGTTAAAGACCCGAGCGGAGCCGGAGCGGGCCGCTAGTATATTATTACTGCGTTTGCCTAAATTTCAATTTGTCGTAAAAAATATTAATTGACGTTACGAATTAAGTTATGGAAAATTTTAATAATTTAATTCAACATTTTATTTACCAACCACGAGGTGTATTGAATCAGACGTAAGGGATTACGACGTAATCAAATTGTCTTAGATATACGCACTACCTCTATTAAGTTTATTTATTTATTCGAACTGTAACATGGCGTAATTAAAATTTACTCATTTGACATTTATGGACATAAACAAAGCGGTGAGCTTAAGGCTATTTAGCAAAAACCAAAGGGTGGCGTATAAAATGCTGTGATAGGTGCATCGCTTTATTATTAAGTACTAAAGATTAGATCCTAAGCACAAGGTATAAGCGAATATTAAATTATAATTTAAATTAAATTGTCCGTTCGAAAAATGGTGCTACTCTTTAAATCTAGCATGCGTTCCGTCATGACCTACGCATGTGTACGCTCACGTTACCCGCATATAAAATACATAAACTCTTTCCTGATCATCCAATGCTGTTTCTGCAGGATAGCTGTCGGAGCACCGCCGTCCTTGCTGAATTTAAAACTATAACCGATACCTAAGTATCTTAAGGTAGTGTCAGAATGCTACTTCAACAAAGCGGCGCGACACGATAGTCCTTTTATTATGGCCACAGCTAATTGCATATCCAAACTAATACTGTGAACTTTACTGCCCTCTGTTTATGCTCTATCATCACCAGTTGAATCGAGGAGAGCGGTAATAGGTGTCATAGAGAATATACAATAAACTAGTTAGCTGTGTCCAGGTCTGCAGTTGAATTTTGGAGAGCTTATTACATTATTTCCGTAAGTCAACTCGGCAGACCTTTTTATTTATCCCGAACCTCAGAGCGTAACTATATGTACTACGTATTAACTGTAGTAATATATTTTCTAACCTTAAAAGCACTTCATACAACACACCAGTATACAAAGAACAACGTTACACAACAAAGAAAGAATAAGCATTCCTTGTAATTTTTGAATAATTCATTTTTCTGCGTAACATGGAAATTTGAAGTAAGCATTCTGTATAAATCGCAGTATTTATTGTTTGTAGGCGAATGTGAACAGAGAAATGTCGAGCAGCTCTTACGAGTGTGTTTATTTTGTATTCTCTCTCGGTTTTCTTGGATGCAAATAATCGTGTTTCTGTCATATGTCGTCGAAGTTAAGTGAAGCAATTTATGAATGGGATTATCTTGAAAGTATTGCTTTTATTGTATTGTGTAAGAAAAAAAACGGTGCAACTTGGTGCACATGAATGAAGTGAAACTTCTTTTTCGATGTGGTTTTCTTCATTTTTCGTCCTTAAATCAGATTGCTCTTGTAATAGGGAATGCTGTGTATAAGAGATGCGAAATCTTCAACATTTATTTAAATTATAGATAGAAAAATATATAAATATATTTTTAATTTGAGCGCGGCGACCGAATAATGAAATTCCGTAACGAAAAAAACCTTACACCCCTCACTCCACCTACCATGTAGCTCGCGTTCAACACATTCACACGTTGCGCTTGTGTAGTGTTGGTGAATAAGCGCGTGGCGTGACGTCACACTGCATGCGCATCATTAAACGTCTGCCCATCTCTCTCTCGCGCGGTCTAGCTTATGAGTATGAAGGGGACAGTTAAGATTTTGCTTTTATTAATGTTTAATATAGCGTGGTCTTGTTTTATTATTGTTTTAATATTAAGTTATCATTGTCTAATTATAATTGCATAAGTTGATAAAAAATGCTATGCAATAGCTCTACCGCGGCAGTTCCCGAGTGCCACACGTTTTTTTTTAAATACTTCATTAAAATATTGGACCCTACTTATTGCTAACGCTCGCGTTGTCCTGTAACAGGTATACGACGCGCATGCGTTCGAGTGCCACGCATTCACTCTCGCTCTGTCTCTTTCTATTCCATGGTAGCGTTAAATGTTTAACGCAACCTTGTTGGAAGTCGCATTAGAAGTTTCACTTCAATAAATGTACGGTAGTGAGAGGTAAGAGAGATTGGGTTGTTTAATGTTGTGTACAAAGTCGTTACTGTTTCAGGCTGCGTACTTGGCGTTTACGATATGGTTGCATCGGGCGTCTTATCCTTTAAGCTACGACGACTTTTATGTGTTCAAACGTGTGTACATATTTACTTTTATAAATTTAATTTAAGTTAATAAAAATTGATGCGTTGCAGTTTGTATATTGTATTCCAATGACTTTGCGTAATGCCCAAATTATCAATTATAAATGATTATGATTATTCAATATGGAAAAATGTATTGAGATATAATATTTCATTAGAATATTTAGTTATAGATTGTGGGCTTCGAATGTGATTATAAACACACAAACAGGATACCAAATTCTCAGACGTTCGTAGGGCCATGCTGAAGATTTCTCATGTTGAAATTAAACAAAGTTTTATGAAAATCACATAATTATATTATATATTACTTAATTAAATATTAATAAAGTAACACAAGATCGAAAGGTTAATCGAGCTTTAAGCCCTTTATCTCGCTATAAGCTCCAACGTACGATAACCAGAAAACTCCCGAAAGCACATACAGCAGTTCTAGAGACGACGACAAAGGAACCACCAGCTTCACAACTAGTACTAAGCTGAGACACCGCAAAGCTTCGTAGAACGGAGCTTTTGGCGAAGCGTCTAAAATCATCCCGAATATAATGAGCGAGGCAAATATGTATAATACTAGAATGGCCACTGTTGTTGTCGGCAATTCCTGAAAAATAATTTGTTAATATAGTTTTTTGTTTAGGTTTTAATGTCTAGTAATGTAAGTAAAAAAGTAAGTAAAAAGTAAATTTGAAATAAATCCACCACAACACATTCGGATCCATGTATTTTTTTAAGATATATTATTATGTTCACACATTACTGCTTCACGGCAGAATGTGTCTTCATATAACAGTCAGGTGATTGTACTTACAGAGTTGTACAAGAAGAGCTGATGGAATCCATACAGTATCAGCCCGTAGTGAGTGAGCAGGTAAGCGGTGCACCACTTCGGAAGGATCACATTGTACTTGACTTGTGCGTGTATGGCCGGCTGAAAGTTATAATATATGAGGTTTTTTTATTGCTATCTAAGCAATACCAGTATTCCTAATCCTGCGGACCAAATGGTAAACAGTCGACGTCGCCCAAAACACGTCATTTCGCATCCTCCCGATCCACTAACGGTGCTTTTAGGTACCCCAAGTACCGGTTATCGTTCTCGTCGAACCCGGATCTTGCAACCAAGGGCTCGGCGAGTAAATTAACCCACAGACACAGCCCACTGAGTTTCTCGCCGGATCTTCATTGGGTCGCGTTTCCGATCCGGTGGTAGATTCTGCGAAGCACGGCTCTTGCTATGCTTAGTGTTAGCAACGACGTCAGTTTGAGCCCCGTGAGCTCACCTACTAGTTAAGGCTGCGCTGAAATGGGGTCTCAAGACCATCCGCTAAGATAGGAAAGAAAAAGTCTTACTAGAGCCTTTACCACTGGTTACCACCTTAAAGCAACAGTTCTAAGGTCTCAGATTTAACAGTACACGACTTTACAGTACCGAATGCCTTGTGCGAACAAAACTAACAAACAAGGATTGTGAATTCAACGGCTTTAGTTATATTGTACTCCAAGTGCGGGAGACATAAGGAAATTTACAGCAACTGTGACTTAAAGATATCAGACCAGAAACGCTCTACTCTCAACAATTCAGTCCAAAATGCCATCCGGTAGGTAGGGCTAATCTAGGAGAAAGTAATTAAAGGTGGCCACGACCCTCAGCTTTCAGGATTATCGACGAAAGGAAGTGGAGGTGGCTTAAAGAATAACACTCCTGGTGTACTCGTATCGAGCGATGTTAAGTGTATAATACTACCCAAATACACCAGTACGTGGTTGCCGTTAGCCAACTAAAGACACGATGTTCAAACCTCTCTGGAGAGAGAAGCCGTTGGAACGGCTCTCAATTTGTGTCAATATGCGGGTGATGGTTCTCAAATTTTGATGCCTTAGGGGCCAAGTGGACTTTAAATGCGTCCACTTAACTAACGCAAATAATATTGAACCCTATATCTATATTTAGCAACAAAAAAATTTACGAGTACAACTCACATCTTCCTCCATATCCCGGAATCTGATGGTGTTGCCCGGTTTCCAACTAGGCCTGTCGAGTACAGCTTGAAGTTTGTGCTTCCAGCTGTCGAAGCTTTTATATTTTTGCATCACGTACCGCGTGTAGTAGGTCTTTAAATGATATTGTTTTATTCAAATCTGATTAAAGGTAGGAAGGTGTTGTCAGTTTATTGCTCACTCCCCTTCGCTCACTCACACATATCCATTTCTTCTTAGGTCTTCGTCTTCCTCTCATAGCCTTTCACACTTTTACCAACCTCATTGGCATTTCGGGATAAATTACATTTTCTCTTAATTCTTCAAGAATCAATCAAATATACAGCCTTATGTAATAATCCTGCATTGCTCTACACACAACAATGTAACAAAACGTAAGCCTATCTAGACAATCATAAAGTTGTTTTGACTAAATGAATAAATAGTATTTAATCGCGATTTCTTAGAAGTATTACACATTACACATTATTATGTTCTTGTTGTTGAATCACGAAGGCTAACGAGTTTGGCGATAGTAAAGCTACAATTCTTTAATTCAAGTTCCAACGCTATTAACATACAACATATAAATAACAATGTATCTGTGCTATTTAGCCATAAATCATCTGAAGCCAATGTTAAACGTATGTAAAACTTAATTGTCACTGAAATCCTTTGACTACAAGAACAAACAAAGAAACTGTGTCGGGTAGCCATCATATAACTCAAGATATTTAACAGATGCCTGAATCTCGCTTACGACATTTTCAAGATAAGCTTGCATAAATATAAGTTCCGAACATCAACGTTCGGACCGTCGGTCTACCGAGCAATATCACCCGCTCGGTGGGAGATCTTTCCTTTGTCGTAAACCTCCAAACTGCACTCCCCTCCGAGATCGGATCCCGGAAAACTTTATACAAAGAGATGTCGACTCTGAAGTACATCTTTTAAAAATTATTAAACTAGCTGACCCGGCAGACTTCGTAGTGCCTCAATCGATAAATAAAAGACCTAAACTTTTGTATAAAATAAACTTAAAACAAACAAAAGGAATTTTGATATTTATCTACCTTTTAAACCTTCTCTGGACTTCTACAAATAATTCAAGACCAAAATTAGCCAAATCGGTCCAGCCGTTCTCGAGTTTTAGCGAGACTAACGAACAGCAATTCATTTTTATATATGTAGATAATTATTATATTACGTTGTGTATGGACAGCCAGTATGGAACTTATCAACTTTTTTTTACGTAATCTGGGTACTACATGATATATTTTTTTAGTGTCCCCAATAGCTCTACTATGAGGTGTTTCAAGATTATCCATTCTTTCTGGGACACCCTGTAAACTAATGTCTAAAGTACGGAGCTCGCAGTTGGACTCTACTAGCAGACAAACACCAGTCACGACCGCTGTATCAAGTGGAATTGGTTTTATAATATCAATTAAGTGGATTACGTAATGGCCCGCCTCATTAGTTGCACTTGTAATTGAACTTTGATTGCTGTCCCGATTGCTAATGCTTTCAGAAGATATTTTTGCAATCGCCAAAGTAATATTCCATACAATTAAGTGGTGGAGATTGAGTAATACATCTTATTTATTATAGATAGTATTAACACAGTAGCCCGTATTGATATGCTTCGCAACAGTGTTTGGAGATAGTTGCTCAGTCAAGTATTTGCAAAAAACGTTTGCGGCCTAAAATTGACTCACATATGCAAAGTTAAGTGGGGGTTGAAGTGCGTAAGTATATTCACCTGCAAATGCAGAGGGTTGAAGGAAGGCTGTTGATAGATGAGGCCATAGACAATGCGGTCCTCCTCCTGCTCTGCCCTGAAGGTGCCAAATAGCTTATCCCAGAGGATCAGGACTCCGCCATAGTTCACGTCGATGCAGTACGGGTTGCTCCCTACAATTTAAGCTCTTGTCAAATGTTGACCTTAAGGGAAAGATACTCGTGCCATCGTGAACACTTGAATATTTCCAAGTCAATATTTCCCCCATCGAATTCCACGTTTTTTTTTCTACCTGTGCTGATAGCCTTGAGAGGCTATTTCAGCTTCTCCTTGACGTGTAGGTGAGCTCACGGGGTTCTAACCGGGAGTGTTGCCAACACTGGCTCTAGCAAGAGCAGTGCTTCCCAGAATCTACCACCGTATCGGAAACGCGACCCACTGAGAAGATCCGGCGAGAAACTCAGTGGCCTATGTCTATGCGTTTAGGGTGCTGGTGGTGCTGCCCCGCTTTTGTAGCGCATCAGGGATGTATGCAGACGCGCACATAGATTGTTTTTACGCTACCATTCGTAAGAGGTGTGCATCTCTGATAAACAGAGTGAGGGCCAGCTCCAACAGTATCCTGAGCATGATCGCAAGCAGGCTGGACTGTATATACATGGGTCGCTGTGGTGCCATCTCCCATGGGATGTTACGACAGTAATTCATTGTGATGTAAATATAACTACTAACATAGGTGTAAGTCTTATTAACAATTTATATGAGTCATGGATACTTGAAATAAAAACATTAATTATTATTATTATTATGGGCTAGTTCACTCGTCGAGCCCTTGACGAGGACGATGACCGGGCAATTCCTCGTTCCTTGCGTGTTAAAGTTGCACTGACACCTACATATGAATGTATTTAAGTATTCATGTTACGATGTGTATGAGCTCTGGTGACCATTTGAGAGCAGGTTGCTTATTTATCTGACTAATCAGTCTGATATAAGCTTAAACACTTAATTTGTTAAGTAACGAAGGTTTTCTTACTTTGGAGATGTTGGCGGTTATATAGCTATGCTTAAGCAATGCCAGGTGCACAGCCAAACGCCTGTCGCTGACTCTCTTAAGACTTTACTTTTCTATTTCTTCCCAGTAAGTACACAGCTGTTTAGAATAGTAAATGAAACGCACCGTGATGAATCCTGTGGTGACTGGGAGTGTTCAGGATGTACTCTAGAGGGCCGAGGCTTTTGATGGTCTCCGTGTGAATCCAGAACATGTAGAGGTAGCTGAACTGGTGGTGGACCAAAAACTGCGCCGGAGGAATCGCCAGAGCCAACGGGAGGTAGAATATCTGAGCAAGGATGCAGGGTAAAATTATAATTTGCGAAATTACTGGTGGTAGGACCTCTTGTGAGTCCACACGGGTATGTATCACCGCCCTGCCTATTTGTGCCGTGAAGCAGTAATGCGTTTCGGTTTGAAGGGTGGGGCAGCCGTTGTACACTTGTGACTTTAGAACTTATATCTCAAGGTGGATGGCGCACTTACGTTATAGAAGTCTATGGGCTCCAGTATCCACTTAACACCAGGTGGGCTGTGAGATCGCCACCCATCTAATAATAATAATAATAATAATAATAATAATAAAAGCCTTTATTCAGACGCAAAAGATATTTACAAATAATAAACTTAAATTAACGACTCTGCCGAGTCGATGACATCGACAACTTCGTCTGTTTGCCCAACTTTGGCAAAGGCCTCCTCCATTTCTTTCCACTCTTCTCGGCTTAGAGCTTTCCTTGTCCATAGTTTTCCTGCTACCGTCTTTATCTCGTCTTCCCACCTCCGAATCTGTCTGCCTCGTTTCCTTTTTCTATCTCTAGGGTACCAAAACACTATGCTTTTGTTCCATTTTTCGATGCCTCTTATTGTATGTCCTGTCCATTGCCATTTTAGTTTCCGAATTCTAGTTGAAACATTTTGTATCTTAGTGCGACCTCTAATGACTTTGTTTCGTACTCTGTCTGATTTTCTTAGATTCAGCATGCTTCTCTCCATAGCTGTCTGGCATGATTCTAATTTTTTGCTTTGCGCTTTGGTGAGAGCCCAGGTTTGGCAGCCATAGGTTAGAACTGGTAGCACGCAGGTGTTGTACAGTTTTGATTTGACATGCATCTTGATTTCTTTATTCTTCATAATTTCTTTTAGCTGCCAGTAGCACTTCCATGCATTCCCAATTCTAGTGTCTATTTCTTTTGACATTATATCATTAACTGAAATTTGTTGGCCTAAGTAAGTGTACTCTTTGACATACTCAATTGGTTCGCCGTTTATGACGATAGGGTCTTCGGATGCATTTGTTAGTGCTTTGGTTTTGGAGGCGTTCATCGTTAGGCCAACCTTGCGGCTTTCTCTTTCCAAATCTATGAGCATGACTTGTAGGTGTTCCTTTGTTTCAGCGAATAAAACAATGTCGTCAGCGAACCGTAAGTGGGATAGTCTTTCTCCGTTTATGTTTAGCCCGTGGTGCTGCCAATTTAATTTTCGAAAGATTTCCTCTAAGACAGCTGTGAACAATTTAGGCGATAGCGGGTCCCCTTGTCTTACACCTCTGTTTATTTTTATTTCCTTCCCTTCTTTTTCTAGCTTAATTTTAGCTGTACTTTTAGCATAGACATTTTTTATTATTCTGATGTATTTTTGTTCGACTCCTTGGTTCTTTAAACAGGACCAGATATTTTCGTGCTCAATTGAGTCAAATGCCTTGTTGTAGTCAATAAAACAACAATAGAATAATACATTAAACTCTTTGTTCTTCTCGATAACTTGTCTCACAGTATGTATATGGTCTAATGTCGAATAGCCTGCCCTAAATCCAGCCTGTTCCCTGGGTTGGTTTTCATCTAGGGTTCTTGTTATTCGGGCTAAAGTTATTTTGGCAAAGATTTTATAAATATTGGACATTAGACTGATGGGTCTATAATTATTTATATTGGTCTTGTCCCCCTTTTTGTGGAGCAGGACGATGGTTGATGCAGTCCACTGTGACGGGATAATTTCGGTATTCAATATATCATTGAAAATACATGTAAGTAGTGGTGCAATGTAGGTTCTGCAGCTTAGAAGCAATTCGTTGCTGATCTCGTCGGGACCAGGGGCTTTATCAAGCTTCTATGTTTTAATTGCCTTTTGTACTTCATCTTCTAGTATGGGTGGCACATTATCATCGTTACTTAATTCTATGATTTCAAATTGGCTCTTGCTGGAGTACAGCTTTCTGTAGAAATTCGTAGCTGTTGATAAAATATCTAATCTTTTGGTAGTTGTCATGCAATGTTGGTCTTTCATACTAGCTATCCAGTTGGTTTTGTCGGATAAAACTTTAAGGGCCTTTTTTATACCGCCGGTTTTGTTGATGAACTCTTCAAAGGTGTTGCGTCTGAGGTGTTCTCTATCTCTTCTTATTTGTAATTTTATTTCTTTGCTCAATTTCCCGATTTCATCCCTGATAGTTTTTGTTTTGTTGGTTATACTGATGAGTTTTGATCTTTTTTCTAGGAGTTCGGTGGATTTTCCTGATATGTTTCTTTTGTTGTTTGATTTGCCTTCAATGTCAGTTGTAGGTCTTGCTGTAAGTAATTCGTGTATAATGTTGTATTTTTGTTGTGTGCTTAAATTCTCTAGAGATTCTGTCACAGAGTTAATGTTCTGTTTAATAGTGGCTATTCTTACGTTGTTTAGTGGTATTGTTGTTTTTGCTTTGAAATGCCGGCTTCGTTTTAGAGCAGATATGTTTAGACATGTTCTAAGCATTCTATGGTTGCTATTAAAATTAAGATTTGCAATGGTGCCGCAGTCATCAAATAATTTGGGTTTGTTTGTTAAGATGTAGTCAATCTCATTTCTGTACCGACCGTCTGGCGATATCCATGTCCATCTATTGGAAGTTCTCTTCTTGAACTGACTATTTAGTATCTTCATATTGTTTTCAAATGCCATTTCTATTAGTTTTTGGCCGTTTCTTGTTCTTTTTCCACTACTGTATGGACCTAGGACAATGTCTTCACCATTTCTTGCCGCTCCGACTTTTGCATTGAAATCACCCATAACAATGTAGTTTTTGTGTACGTGTTCTTTTATGGTAGTTTTAAGGGATGAATAGAATGACTCGATTTCCAATATTGAAGATTGTTCGGTTGGCGAGTAGATTTGCACTATATACCATAATTCTTTTCTTGGGGGTATCTGTATGTTTAATACTGCAATCCTTTCTGATATGCCTATTATTTCTGTTATGTACATCTTGAGTGTTTTCCTTATTAGGAATCCTACGCCATGTCTTCCTGGTGTTTCACCTTTGTAGTACATTATAAATTGGTCGTGCTCTTCAATAGCTTCGCCGTGTCTTCTTACTTCGCTCAAGCCGATAATATCCCACTTGGTGTCTCGAATAGAGTATAGAAGTTCTTGTAAGCTTTCTTCAGTCCTTAGAGAGAGTGTATTGTATGTTGCTATATATAGGTGTTCTGTACTTTGCTGTATTTTTGTTCTAGGCGTATTCGTTTGAGACAAGGGCATAGTATTTAGAGGGTAGTGGTCATCTTCCCCCACGGTGACCGGCCGTCTTGGGGTGAATGTATAGGTTGCTTCGTTGGGTGTATATGTTTTGTTTGTTAGTTTTGATTTTCCGTTGTCGATGTCTATTGATCGTTATTTTGTGGTTGAGGGTGTTGGCAGTGACCCAGATCTGCCCCGCGCCATATAGTTGAGCATACTATTTATCTTGTTTATCTTTTTTGGGGCCAACTTCGGTTGGTTATTGGGTGAACTGCTGCAGTTCCTTTTCGTCTTATCTCTTTTGTCATCTTTCGACTCCTTTATTACAATTTTGTCTTTGACAAAGTAACAAATTTTGCCCTTTGCTCTTTCTTCCTGTAACTGTGGAAGGAGCTCTTTCCTTTTCTCCAAAATTTCTTTACTAAGATCTTCCTTGATATAAATTTCTTGGTCTAGTTTCTTTTTCTTTTTGAGAATTTCATTTTTTCTCCAGTTTGTTGTGAACGTTGCGAGGATAGGGCGTGGTTTGCTATCGTTTTTTACTCCTAGTCGGTAGGCGTTGTTGATTTCTTGTGGGTTGATTTGAATGTTCATATTTTTTTCTAGCAGTTTTATAATGGATTCGATTGGCAACTCGTTGTTCTCTTCCTCTTGCATACCAAAGAAAATTATATTGTTTTTTCTTTTATGGTCTTCCATTGACTTTATTTTGCCTTGTAAGGTATTTATTTCCATCTTCAAGTTGTTATTTTCCTCCACAAGAGCAGTTAATTTTTCGTTAATACTCTCAGATACATTTTTGGTGACGGCTTCGGTTATCTCTCGCGTTTGCGGTGACATTTCTTGCTTCATTTTTTGCCAAAAAGCATCCATTTGTTGTTCCATGTGGAGATGTTTTTGTGTGGTATACTAGATCAGAGTTGGTAATACTGGTTTATTATTGGTAGTTCCAATTGGAATTTGGCAACCCCGGTTTCGAGTAAGCAGCAATTGCTTCAAGCTGACAGCACTAGTTTGGAGTCGGCAACGCTGTAAGGTTGGTAACACCATGAAGGTGTACCAATATAGTTTATGATTGGAAGGCTGTATGGGCTTAGATCCCCTTGCCTTTCCTAATAAGGAAAACTTGTACCAAAAATCTATGATTGATTTTCTTGGTGTGTCGGTATTCAGTTATTATTGTCAACATTAAAATTATTTTTTTCTACCTGTTTTGGCGGATTGGTATATCGAAGTGAATGTTTTATCTTGCTGTTTCACTGTCCACTATTTAATCAACAGGTATCTACACCACTTTCCACTAAGTCAATGATGCTTTCAGATGTTTTTATTCAATTTGAGACTTAATTGGAATTGTTTCGCGCAACGGAGCAACAGCAACACGTCCTTACTTTTTGACACCGTTTCCCGAAGAAAAAAAGCCACCCATCTAAGCAATAGATAAATAAAGAAGGTACCAGCTGGAACATGAGCATGTTTTTCTTATTACATACAAAAGTGCACGATCCATTTGGTCTTAAATGATTCCTAGAGTCCACTGATATCACAACCTTGAGACGTGGGTACGAAGTCTTTAATTGTATTGAAGGCTCTTTGTTATGTCCATGAAGTAAACGGCATAAACAGGCACAATGCTAGTACCTATCCGTGCTGGCTTACAACACAAAAGGAGAATAGATGAGTACGTATTGTTTCGTGACAAGAAACCAAAATTTATTTTCTAATGTAAACATGAAGGCGATAAAGGCGAATTTTGTGAGCGCGCAACGAAACGAACAGTCACGTTTCCTAGAGTTCGTGACCTCGCGCGAGTTGATTTTTAATTTTGTTATACATTGCGTGTACTTATATAGCCGAAAACTTTTCGAAGCATATCGAACACTCTGTATAAAACATATTCTATGTTGTTTTGATATACATATATATTTGTCGGAGAAGCCACAATTATTAACACCATCGTCAGATATCGTAGGGGCGAATAGGGTTATCGAACTAAGATAAATATTGAGTACACCAATCACGTTTGCTGTCTTAGAACAATTTAGAAATCTTCGCTTGACGCTAGCAAACGAAAACGAATGACAGTTCTTAGGACGGAGGCACCGCTCTTCAAGAAGGCTGGTTGGTAAGTGTGATGGCGTCTACGCGCCTCCATCGGCTGGGCTATCGGCTGGGCTCTGCCGTAGCACGAAGTTAGCCGAGTTCCAACGATACCGCAATCGTGCTGCCATCTCTTGGGAATCGTGCTGCGTTTCGTTTAATAAAAAAACTAATGACCGTCTCCGACATATTTATATTAACACGTTAATTGCCATGTCGATTTCTCTCTTCGATCTTCTTACTAAGGCGCCGGAATAATTAGTAAACTCTGGGAAAGACGAATCCGAAGATACAACAACAAACAAAAGAAGGCAAAGTTAGGCAATCCCAGGTGCTTAGTAACACAAATCGACATAATTACTTCAGGGCGCCGCGTAGGGCACCGGTGACCTACATGGCAGTCAAAGGGCTAAGTAATGGTATCAGGAACGGGATTTTCCACGTATCTCTAGCAAGTCTGTCCAATTAGACTGAGGGAGGAATGTTTTCAGCGGAATAATCATTAGAGACACGAAACATCTGAATTGGAATATTGGATAGGCTTCCCTAATTAATTTCTATCGTTTGGAAAGCAGTTGAACGGCCGCATCATTTAAGTAAGTTTCAGCAAATATTTTCTTCAGATAAACAGTCCAAAGAAAATACTACTTTTAAGTTCTTTTTTTTTATTGCTTAGTTGTGTGGACGAGCTCACAGCCCACCTGGTGTTAACCACTTACTGGAGCCCATAGACATCTACAACGTAAATGCGCCACCCCCTATGAGATATAAGTTCTAAGGTCTCAATATAGTTAAAGCGGCTGCCCCACCCTTCAAACCGAAACGCATTACAGCTTCACGGCAGAGAAATCACAAGAGGTCCTGCCACCAGTAATTACGCAAATTATAATTTTGCTCGTTTGATTTTTATCACACGATGTTATTCTTTCACCGTGGAAGTCAATCGTGAAGATTTCTTAAGTACGTATTTCATTAAAAAAATTGGTACCCGCTTGCGGGTTTCGAACACCGTTGCATCGCTACATGCCAATGCGAATATATTATCCATTAGGCCATGACGATTTCAAGTTTAAAACCCCTTTCAACGTAAACTTACGTAAGCATTTAAAGTGTCCGATAATTTATTTGTAGACTGTAGTGGTTTGAGCTAAGACAATATTAATTTTCATTCTTGACAAAACAACGTGACTTCATTTGCTTACGCCCATTGTAAACTAGCAATTGTTCGACTGAATTCAATTTGAACAAAAGAGCCTTACTCGGAACTCAGACTCCGTTTGAATAGCCTCCTCAGTTTGAATAACAATGTAACACAAGTTTCAAATTCGTCATCTCGTAAACTGTAGCCCAAGAATCAGTAGTTGCAGCTTCATATTTGAAGTCCTCTTACATTGGTTATGTCGCTGTGTACTCGGCTGATGCGAAGATAGGGTCTACGTTAACTGGACATAGAGCCAATTGTTCTATAGTGAAGCAGTCATGCGTTTTAATTCGTGTGGTTACGGCCTTTACAAGCTTCAATCTCTTAAAATAGGCTGTGGCAGAACACTAGCCAGATGGTTAGATCTAGTAAAGGAACCACTTGCTGGCAGTCTGTACCGTGCGGTCCATGCCACACATGATCGAACACTGTGGAGAAACGTTCACATATAGTCGCGATCCTCAGCAGCAAAGGAATGATATAGAAGGTAGAAGATTATCACACTGAAACTTACGGGTTCCAGTACTTAATACTGTTTCACCGGTAAGTGTAACGCCATCTATCGCCGAATAGCTGAACGAATATCGAAGGATCTAGTAACATCCAGAACGCGCGAGGAGTACAACGCCATCTATTGTCGTATGGCGAAAACACGCATCGAAGGTACTCGACTTGTGAGAAATGTTCTCGACTATTCTAGGGATTTCGTCTCGACTGTAAAAGCGTTGCAGAGATGGCACGCAGTCAGTCAGTAATTGGAACTACTCGAAGCGAAACAGCGAACGGATCACCTGAAGCGAAGCGAAAGAAGCGAATTGAGAACTTTAGTGTTTGTGAAGTGTTTTAAGTGTTCTAAGTGCTAATACAGTGTTAACTTGTAATTCTGCAGAATTTTTATTTATGCCGAACCCCAGCGCGTAACAATACTATCCCATCTAGCACATATAAACAAAAATAAATTACTTACAAATCCACACCAGCCTTGAAGGACGGACTGTCGAATACCGACGCCCATGTTGAAGTCTTCAGAAGTGTGGTGCACTTGATGATGTGCCCAAAGTACGTGGACCTCTGGATTCAAAAGAAATCTAGAATGAATCTAGTATCTAATTGCCACCAACATCTTTGATATATGAGATCGGAGATGAGTCGTAGAACGAGGAGAAATAGTGATATAAGGAGAGAGAGAGATGGTAGCAGAAAGTAGTGATAGAAACAAATAACCGACATATGTTGTGCAAATGAAAAAAAAAAATTGCACAACGCTATTTATACGCCTTGGAAATTGTTCTTGAACACGTGTTACCTACGTATTTTCTTCGATAAATTATTAGCCACCTGCGGTATTTTGGACGTCGGCAAAGTATAATATCATCGCTCGTAATGAGTACACCGGACATCATAGTCTTTAAGCCACGACAACTTTATTGATCACGTTATGTCTACGGAAATTTGTTTCTCCTTAAAGATATAACTAATTAATTATTATGTAATTGGAATAGCATATTAAAGTGTTTGTATACAAGAGTTTTAATTTTTGGTAGAAATTGAGAAGGTTCTTTTCTAACAAAGTTAGTTCATTATAATAGAATTCGTATCGTACCTGTGAATTTTATTCAATACTATACTCTTGCCCGCGACTTCGCCCGCGTGGAATAGTTCACAAATAATGTTTTATTTTAGAAATTTGGTTAGCATAAAAAAGTTATAGTGAGCCAACCTTAACATATGGACATATGCTGCCGCGGACTTTTTTTTAGATGTTTTTAAGGGGTACAATTCTCTCATACATTATTTTAGCGAAACTTTAATCGTTTCCGCACAGCACGCAGTGGAAGCTCTCCAAAAAGGAAAAAAACCCGATTTTGAAACATTCTTTATTGATGCTCCACTTGTATTGGTTTTAGCGTGATGTTATATAGCTTTCCTCAATAAATGGTCTATCTAACACTGAAAGAATTTTTCAAATCAGACCAGTAGTTCTTGAGATTAGCGCGTTCAAACAAACAAACTCTTCAGCTTTATAATATTAGTATGGACTGTGTGCTCTTTGTCTGACCAAAAAAATATAATGATTCTAAGTTGTTTATTTTTGAACAAATATTAATTTTGTTTTCTTTGACCGACTGTGTGGACAGCGTTATGCAAGATAGTCAAATATAAATATTTTATCGCGGCTAAATTGGAATGTACCCTTTCTTCTCCGGGCTCAAAAGAAGGTCGGGCAATGTCGGAATGTGCAATAAGTTTTCATATATTAGGAGCCCGTAAGACTGAAAATACCGCGGTGCTCACCCAAACAGCTATGAAACACGTGGAACTTAGATATTTATTTAATATTCTATGTTTAAATTACCATGACAAGCTCTATGCATCCAGTAGTAGAAGAAGTCGACTCCTACTGCCGCCAGGAGCCATGTGACCGTACTGTCCCATGGTAACTCTAATAGCCGCCAGTTAGTATATATCCAGGTATATAAGTAAGCTTCTCCACCACGCCATAATAGTCTAAAATGAAATATAATATTATAATGATATGGGATATACTAGAATGATTGAACAACAAAATACTTAATTTCTGTAATATACTAAGAAAACAACATTAAAAACCTTTAATCTCCTTTTTAAATTATTTAAACAGTTTTGTTGAATTATATAAAACTGAACTCTTTTTTCTGAATGACAGAGAGGTCAGTAAATCTGTCTAAGAAAAATCTTTTTTTAAAACTAAAGAGCTTGAGAGGTTTTAAATACCAAAGGTTTCAAATTTCTCTGGCTATGTTTGAGACTTATTTTAGCCAATAGTTTTGGATTATGTCTTGATATAAACTGTTAAAAATGGTATCCATTCTAGTTTGAATATTACATTAACCGCAATAGTGATCAAATCTGTGTGCTTAATGCGAGTTTTTTAACGTTCTCGATAGCGTAAAAGTTAACTCGAATTTGTAGGCAATTGGAACAGCACCCCTAGCGGCAAACGCATGCAAACGTTCCAAACTCATACACACACATTTGGATTAACTTTTACGCTATCGCGAACGTTAAAAAACACACACTGAGCACACTGATTTCTCACTCAAGGTGGCATTTACGATCTTTCGTGAACACTAGTCGCGCCTGATACTTTTGTTTTGGCAAATAATAATCCTCAGAAAATATCGACGCTTGAAAGGCAAACGTGACTAAGCGACAATGCGTGAACTTTACAGTAGACTAATTTAAAGTTGAAATATTTGAAAACAAAATTTATTTTAACGAATCCAGCTGTAGTAGAATCTAGTTAGTAGCTGTAGGATTGGAATTATTTTGATAGACCTAGAAATATATTTTTTTTGCGCATCGAATATGGTTATTTCCTATCATTTATGTACAAAGCAGTTATTGTCGCTTAGTCACTTTTGCCTTTCAAGCGTCGATATAATATTTTTTCAACTTGTACCTACATTGAAATTATTTTATCAGCTCTGTTCTTTAAAAGTCGTTCTTCGTTTTTCCTAATTAGGTATCTCAGTTATTATTTCGACGACAAATTATCTTGACATCAAATTTACCGAGTTTATTTTTTCGTGTAATTTCAGTTTTGGCTTTTACAACGGAGTTCTTAATTTATTCGAGAGTTGGTAATTTGTTTTAAGTCTTCGTTGTTTCTAATTAGTCGGCCGTGGAGTTCATTGGTAATTCACGATGGCTTTGCGGGTTTCTGGCGAATTGAACTTTTGTGATTTTTATGAAAATGTTCATCCTCCTTGTTCGAAGGTTAATTGATGTGGTAAAAGATTTTAATTTTATTCATATAGTATAAATATATTGCGTGAGAGCTGTCGCTTCATATTTCATAGGCATTTAATTGTTAGGCATTTAATTATGATTTTTATGGGACGTTGGACTTAAAAATGTAGTGAATCTTGAATCGATTGCATTACTTATAGTGTTAAGCGCTGGGGTTCGGGATAAATAAAATTCTACCGGATTACAAGTTAACACTGTATTAGCACTTAGGACACTTCACAAACACTTTAAAATTCTCAATTCGCTTCTTAAGCTTTGCTTCAGGTGATCCGTTCGCTGTTTCGCTTCGAGTAGTTCCGATTACTGACTCACTGCGTGCCGTGTCTGCAACGTTTTTATAGCTGATACTACATCCTTAGAATTATCGAGAACATTCCTCACAAGTCGAGTATTTTCGATGTGTGTTTCCGCTATCTGACAATAGATAGCGTTGTACTTTTAGAGCGTTCTAGATGTTACTAGATTCTTCGATATTCGTTCGGTTATTCGGCGATAGATGGCGTTAACCGTAACGGCGTTATACTATAAAACATAAATACGGTGGTGCAGCGACTGACTCGGTGGTGTACGAGTAGTAGTTAGCAGCCTTGACTGCGACGCCGAAGGTCGTAAGTTCTACATCGGGTAAATATTGTGTGATGAACAAGTTTGTTCGGTCTTTGTCTGGGTGTTTATTATCTATCTATTTATATATTAAAACATATAAAAGTATGTTTTTCAGTCTCTGGTACATTTAACACAGGATGTCCTAAAGTAGGGCCGGATGACCGTGCGTGATTTGTTCGAAGTTAAAAAAAATAAGGCACTCACAAAAGTCGATTACCAAACTAACACAAAACTCACCTTCCAGTTTCAAGTAATAATCCGTTTGATATACTTGTTATTCCATCGTTCAGCCGAATCCCCTTCTTTCCTTGCAGTTTCAAGATTATATGCTCTAGTATCAGGAATGTGAAGAAATATGGCCATGACTGAAATGAAAAATATTAAAGCTGTCTTTATAATCACATTTTAACTACAAAAATATAGGAGTCTGGGGAGGCAAGGATTCCAAGGGAACCTGGTGTCAATAAGTCAGACTAGCTGAATGCCACTTGACAATGACAATGACAATAATGATGACATCTTGGCATTGACAAAATCATATCAATGTTGTAGTCGTAGAAACTTGGAGTATCTTCTTTTAAAATAATATTTGTCATATTGTAACGGTACAGCTGTGTTCCTTATCTGATCGTATGATTAATGAAGGTCCCTTCAGGTTGCCATTGGACAATCCTCGTCAGGCTTCCATCAATATTTACTAAACGACCCCGATATATAAAGACCTCTCAGTTGGTAAAATGTTTATGTAGTAAATTCTCGCCACGCGTTGTTACCCGTCACTAGGTATAGCCATGTTGCTTATTTATGAAATTGGATGCAGCTGTTGTGGATGCAGCTATTGTGCTATTTTAATTGATATCCCGATCCGATATCTCCAAGTGTGTTAGGGGACGGTGGGGAATGCTGTAGCAGTATCTATCGGACAACGAGGAACTGTAGAATATCAATTTTTAACCGGTGTTCAAAGCCAGGTAGATGCTTGGTTCAATTCTACTTCATTAGGCACAAACCTGCGATGTTGAGCGATAGGCAGTTTTAATCGGTTCAGTTCTGATATGTACTGCCTATCATCCTCAATGGGTAGGTGGAGGCTTGGCGATTTATTCTTGATATAAAAAAACCGGTGTCTGTTTTTATTATTATTGCTAAGATGGGTGGATGAGCCGGGGCACCTTGAGACATGATTCTAACTCTCAGTTTTTCAGTACAACGGTTGCCCCACTATTGAAACCGAAACGCATTACTGCTTCACGGCAGGAATAGGCAGGTTGGTGATACCTACCTATGCGGACTCACGAGACGCCCTGCCACCAGTGATTACCCAAATTTTAATTATTGCGGGCTTGATTTTTATTACACGATTTTATTCCTTCACCGTAGAAGTCAATCGTGAACATTTGATAAAAGTACGTTTTTCATCAGAAAAATTGGTACCCACCCGTCAGTGGGATTCGAACACCGGCACAGTCACAACGCTAGATACGAACGCACCGGGTGTCTTATCTCGCAGGCCACGACAACTTCAACCCGAAGCCTTTTGTACCCGAATCCTCCGAGAGCTAAACAGACTAACATCTCAGTAGAACCATTTTCCCTGCAGATAGAAATTGACTTACTTGAACGTAAAAATTTGGCACTTCCTTCTGCGTCTCAAAAACGGTGTCTTGAGGGTTAACGAGGTAGAACATACGGCCGAGGCCCTTGGACACTTCCGAGCTGTGTGTCGAGTTCCTACACAACGATTCCATAATGCATTCGCACTAAGCATTTCTAATAAGCCAGCACAGTTTTTATACCGCTTCCAAGAGCATTAATTAATTGTTTGAACAATTAGTTTTTATTCATAATATTGTGAAATATGTTTTATGTGTTACGAAATTGTTTGTAGCGTAAGTACATATAATATATTTTCGTATTTTTTATTTAAAAATACTATGTACCATAAAATTGAATAGATCTGGTCTAGTCAGTTTTTTATTGAATGTTTATTTATTACTTATATGGGTGGACTAGCTCACAGCCCACCTGGTGTTAAGTTGTTACTGGAGCCCATAGACATCTACGACGTAAATGCGCCAACCGCCTAGATATATAAGTTCTAAGGCTTCAATATAGTTAGTTACAACGGCTGCCTCACCCTTCAAACCGAAACGCATTACTGCTTCGCGGCAGAAATAGGCGGGGTGGTGGTACCTACCCGTGCGGACTCACAAGAGGTCTTACCACCAGTACAAAAGTACCACCAGTATATCTCAAGGTGGGTGGTGCATTTACCTTGTAGATGTCTATGGGCTCCAGTAACCACTTAATACCAGGCGGGCTGCGAGCTCGTCCACCCATCTAAGTAATAAAAAAGTGCATTACAAGAGATCCTACCACCATTAATTACGCAAATTATAATTTTGCGAGTTTGATTTTTATTACACGAGCTATTCCTTGTTAAGTACGTATTTCATGAGAAAAAATTGTATCCGCCGTTTAGCAGTGCCACATGATCAACAAATCAACTCGCGCCTGCCTTTGAATTATTGGGTCTCCTATGGAAGTGCTAGGGCAGTTGCTAGAAAACCATCCCCTTTTGGCTGAGCCCATGAATTCATACATCCACCCTAACCAAGCGGCACAGCTTCTAAACGAATAGCTATCTACTCTGTATCCTTATTGTCGTGTTTCTTCTAACATATGTGTGTACAAAATATAATTATTATAAATAAATAAAATAAATAAATATTTTTCTATCGCAATAAAAAATTTGAGCTAATTTTCGTTCAGACGAAATACAGTTAAAGCTTTGATGTAGTTTAATAATGAGGAAGTCATCAATTCTTATTAATGCGAAAACAATATAACAATTTGCTTGTTATACAGAACAATCGTGTTTGATGTTAATGATGTGATTATTTATATTTTTTATTTTGGCTGTCAATTTTGATATAAGCGCCATCTTTGAATTCTTTTTAGAACTACATCTTGAACTGATTTTAAAAAAAAATACTTGAAACATAAAAAGTGAAATAGTTTACGTATATATCCACTAGATGACCTTAGCAGTACCTTAATAAAAGTTCACGAAAATTTTGTTTAACTTCACTTAACAAACCTTTTGACTTTTGACACGTACCATCCAGTACTCTGAATAGATTTTCCATGCGCCGTGTTTCCTAAGCGCTATGACAGCTTATCCAAACGATCAGTCCGGGTCTCATTTATGCTCTCGGGATTAGGTACTGATGTGAATTGGGAACTATGATTTCAATATCAGTGTGCTTAGTGCGAGATTTTTAACGTTTTCGATACCTATCTATCTATCAGCCCATGGACGTCCACTGCTGGACATAGGCCTCCCCCAAGCCTCGCCACAAAGACCGGTCCTGCGCTGCCTGCATCCAGCGGATCCCCGCGAACCTTAATAGGTCGTCGGCCCACCTTGTGGGAGGCCTACCCACGCTACGTCTCCCAGTACCCTTTTCGATACCTAGCGTAAAAGATTACTTAAATTTGTATGGAGTTGGAACGTTTGCCTACGTTTGCCGCTAGGGGCGCTGTTCCAAACTACATACAAATTTGAGTTAACTTTTACGCTATCGAGAACGTTAAAAAACTCGCACTAAGCACACCTGTCCGCTTTCGGAAACAAAAATAGTAAATGTTTTAATATAGTAAATTATTGATCATCCTATCACTTCGATAATAACCCCAGCTAGCTTGTTCATTAATTATAGTCGGCTGGCGTCGATAAGCGCTCTAATTAACAATTAACACGTTAACCGACGAATTTTACATCGTATATGTGTAATAATTTATTTAAGGCGTATTTTTTTTTTATTGCCTTTGTAGGCAGACGAGCATACGGCCCACCTGATGGTGAGTGGTTACCGTCGCCCATGGACTTCAGCAATGCCAAGGGCAGAGCCAAGCCGCTGCCTACCGCTTAATACTCTCCACAAGCCTCGTTTGAAGAAGGACATGTCATAGCGCTCGGGAAACACCGTGGAAGGGAGCTCATTCCATAGCCGGATGGTACGTGGCAAAAAAGATCTCTGGAAACGCAAACTTAAATAATATTATAGGTATTATTGAATTCCAGGTTTATAAGATTTCTAACATAATACAGATAAGAAGAAAAACCAATTGATCAATAGGTTCATAAATTGTAAATACAATTGTTTTGGTCCACAGCCCGCATTGTAATACATTGTTTTACATTGTTGTGTACTTACTTATGTTTGTTTAAATTTAGCTTCCTTAACAAAGTATAGCGTGTTCCAATTAAAAAAAAATGAAAGTGATAGTTTGATAAACACTAACTCAAGTACATAATGATTGGTCGGTCTAATGCTGGCACTAGACTCACTGGTGGTAGAACCTCTTAGGAGTCCGCACGGGTAGGTACCACCGCCCTGCCTATTTCCGCCGTGAAACAGTAATGCGTTTCGGTTCGAAGGGTGGGGCAGCCGTTGTAATTATACTGAGATCTTAGAACTTATATCTCGAGGTGGGTGGCGCATTTACGTTGTAGATGTCTATGGGCTCCAGTAACCACTTAACATCAGGTGGGCTGTAAGCTCGTCCATCCATTTAAGAAATAATTTTTTTTTTTTTTTTTTTTTTTTTTTTTAGATT